TGCCTGGCATGTTTTTCTATTTTTTTTTTTTTTGGTCAGGGTTGGGTTTGAACCCACCACCTCTGGCATATGGGGCCAGCACCCTACCCTTTTAAGCCACAGGCACTGCCCTGAGTTTTTCTATTTTTAGTAGACATGGGGTCTTGCTTTGCTCAGGTTGGTCTTGAACTCCTGTGCTCAGGTGATCCACCTGCCTTGGCCTACCAGAGTGTTAAGATTATAGGTGTGAGCCTCCATGCCTGGCCTAAGAGATTTATTCTTAATATTATTAATAATGATATCTTAGATTGGCATGGTGCTTAGCAGTTTTCAAAGTGCTTTTCCAATTTAAAACCACAGAGTTTTGAGGCTTGTGAGATTATAAATTGATATGTTTCACTCACTTTTTATCTTTAATCCCATTCCAATACCTAGTGTATAGTCAACATTTCATAAATACATGATTGAGCCTTAAAATAACTCCACAGGGATGGAACTGGAAGTTACCATCCTTATTTCCCCTTTACAGAAGAAGAAACAGTGTCAGAGAGATTATATGACTTGCTTAAGGCCACCCCATTGGTAAGGGTGGAAAAAAAGATTAGAGACAGTGGCTTGTTCTGTTTCTAGTACATTCTTTGGGGGTGGGCAGGAGAGGCCGAATTTTCTGACAAGTAGGCTAGTTTGTGATTGCAGAAATTAGGTTCCATGGGGTATAAGGAAGTAAATCAAACCCATCTTTGAGAGAATGATATACCCTCCAGTCTTCTGCATTTCTTGCTACTGATCCAGACAACTCGGCAGAGTTTGGAGAGCAGAAGGGGCTATGGGCATTAGAAGAACAAAAGTCATTTTATTACAAACTACAAAAATAGTATAGTTTTCACTTATTGAGCAGCTATACTATGTGCCCAACAAATCTTCTTACAAATATTGTTTTTAATGCCCAACTTACCCACTGAAGCAGGAATAATTTAGTTTACAGACCAGGAGACAGAGATTGAGAGCACCTAAATTATCTTTTCATTATTTCAAAATGATTGACCAACACTTCCCCTACGTTCCCCAGTCAGATGTACAGTTATGTTGTATAAAGTCTTTCGAAATGGAGCCTAGTTTGACACACCAGTGAGTCTGTACCCCACTGAATTTGCCTTTTGAAATTCCCAGAATTACTCCAAGTGTCCTGCTACACCTGGTAGATTAGTGCTTTCTGGGGGCGAAGACTCTGAGAGAACATGGGCTTATGGAAGAGAGATTATGGATCCACACCAAGCATTGCCCAACAGAATGGAACGAGAAGGTGGGAGAGAGGACCTGGCCTTCTTTGAGGCTGCTAGAGTAAGGAAATCCTAGATAGGAACCCCAAGCGTGGTGGCACAATTTAAATCAGAGAGTCAGAATCTCTCCTGGTGAGAGACCTGTACCAGATTTTGTTATCCCAACCTGTTTTGGACCAATACTTGTAGAAAACACAATAGAAAGAAATTACTCTTAATTTCCACACTTAGCTCACGAAGGACCACTAAAAATTGTTCATGTTCTGGTTGGTCTGTGGATCACATGTTGGCTAGTACTGGTTCATAGATTTTCAACAGAATAAAAATATTACTACCATATTTGCATTACTTTAGTACAGTAGTTATAAAAGGTATGAATTCACGCATGCCATAGGTGATAGGACCAGGACTGAGACATACGTTTTAATATGTAGGTGAACAAGTTCTTTAACTCTGTTAGTGCATTTCTGGGAAGGTAGAATCTCCTTTAACGACAGCATCAAACGTCTATCCTGAAGCACTTAAGGACTTTAGGCTTGGGTTATCAAACCCCAGTGACCCCCAGTGATCCTGTGAGGCCCTGCCCACTCCGTTATGTCTTACTCCTTTTCACGTGTGTGAAATGCCATGGTGATTAATACAACACAATTTAGATAACAGCTCTAAAGGATTTATCTTAGCTGTTTGATCCTCTCACTCCCATTCAATCAGTACTGAAAGCACAGCTGCTATTCTGGGGGAGAAACAACAAAAACTTGACATTGAAGTCTTTTCACTTGAAATCTTTGATAACCACTTCTTCACACAGACCTTCAAGGAGATACAGCATGTTACTGTCTTTCTTGAGGCTCATTGTTGGTGCTCTGCAGTCCAAAGGGTTTGTGGGAAGCAGTTCCTTTTCTTCCTAGACCTTAGGTACTCTATGTGTGAAAAGCAATGCCTCATTTATTTATTCTGCAACATTCAGGGTGCCAGGCTCTCACTTGGGCAGCAGGGAAGGTGCCTCTCTCCTCAGGACGCTTGGGAGGAGGTGTGTGGAGGGTTCAGTCAGAGCCACTGTTCATACGAAGCTTCTCTCCTAATAAAGTAAGGTGTGTGAGCAGGTGGCTGGATTTCTGCCCATCATGTACCTGAGCCCTGAACCAGCTCTTCCAGCTCTTCTTGGGACTGGGCCTGTGTGGACTTTGGTTTACTGTGAGAACTGAGCTTGGTGCACAGAAATGGTGATAAGAGAAATGTAAATGACTTACGAGCTTTGCCCAGGTTCCCAGGCAGAAGAGCACGGGTTTGTATGCTGGCTTCCTCGGCACACACTCAGAGGATCTCAGGGTGATGAGGCTGGCTGTGCCACCCACAGTTGCAGGGATACAACTGCAAGGGACAATGGCCTTTGACAAAGGCAGTGGCAGCTTGTGTACCCAAGGTGATAAGGATTTAGATTTTTGCACTGCCTTGACCCACATATCTTGTGTCTGTAGCATGTGGCTGCATAGATAATTTTTAAGGAAAAATAGGCTTTTGTTTTTTTTCTAGTGATCTTTGGAGACAGATAAAATTCTGCACTTTTTTCATTTTGGGAAAGTACTGGAGACCAGTGCATCTCAAACTTTAATGTACATGTGAATAACTTAGGGATCTGACAAAATAGAGACTAGGTCCAGCGGGGCTGGGGCAGTGCCTGAGATTCTGTGTTCCCTGTAAACTCCTTCCCAAGGGACAGGCTATACTTCAAGTAGCAAAGACCTTGAAAGCCCTAGGTGGCCTGGAACAAGTCCGTGGGTGGCCTGGGACAAGTCTGATCTGACTTTTGGAAGGCATCAACCCCTGTTTCAGTCACCCCATCATCTGGAATGGTGGTGTCTTCTCTCGGGGTTCCTGTGTAGTCTTAGGAGATACTGCTGGATGGTATATTTTGGTGTGTTTAACCATTTAAAAGAAAATCTTTGTTGTGCTGTTGAGAACATCTTCTTTAGGCCAAAATGACAGCAATATCTGTCATGCCCACTCAAGGACCGCTCAATCCCCTGATAAATTATCACAATGCACTGCCTTGACCCACATATCTTGCGTCTGTAGCATATGGCTGGGGGTAGTTCCCTGTTGCAAATTCTAATGAAGAGAGATTTGCCATCCAGTCACGAAATGATGAGCTCATATGTTATGTTTAGTGAGTTGATAACACAGCAGCCTTTTAAAGATGAAGAGATTACAGCGTGTGTATACGTAAAAGGGACTAAATCCATTGATTATTTTCTGGGCATTGAATTCAGCTATCATCAAATATAGCTTGCCCTTTGAGCTTCTTGGATTAAACCATTATAGAAATTTAAAAACAAATTCCATTTTGACGTTTTATCTCTTTTGAGCTACAGCACATGGTTCCTCTTAGAAAGGAAGTAAAAACTCAAAGCTCCCTCAAAATTAAACTCAAAATGATTTCAGCAGAATGGAGGCTCATGTCACAATGAGTGCTGATAAGCTGCAGTTCCTCCTGCCGTGTGCTACATCCCAGGCCACTTTTCCATCCAACTTGCTGAGCTGATGGTTGTAGTTTTTAATGAAAAGATCATCATGTAACATAGGCCCAACTGATTTTCTAGTTATTTGGGGTGGATTAGAAGAATGGCTCACTTAATGTCTCCAATTTCTTCATTTATTTTATTTATTATTTTATATTTATTTTCACATTCCATCCCTAAAACATGTCATGGATCTGTCCACAACTTTGATTGAAGCAGAAATTAATTTTAACTGATACACTGATGAGGGCTTGGAAGGGTCTTTGCTCTAAGAGGGTTTTGTTGTAGTGGTATTTATCTTAATCGGATTTGGCTGGTGTGCTTTCCACTCATGGGATTTTAGAAAGAAAAAGAATCTAATCAACATAGAAGTCATCTAGTCCAGCCATCTCATTTCCTAAAGAGGAAGCAGCTCAGGGATTTACTCAAGGTCACATGGGCCTATCTGTGAATCAGTCCTGGGCTCTCCCCAGTCTCCCATCATGCCTTTCTGTGTGGATTTCTGGATGTGATTTGGTGGCTTGGAGGCCCGAGGAAGCAGGTCACCCACTATTCCTGGTGAGAGCAGGGCATTCCCATGCCACTTACTGCACGGCCACACCCACCAGAACCTGCTTCAGGCAGAGCCACAGGAGATACTGAATGCCCCAGGGGGACAAGGTGGCTCAGTAGGATCCCAGACTCTACAGCCAGTGGCCTGGCTGGAATCCTGCCTTGCTTCATATGAGCTATGTGACTTTGTGCAAGTTACTGAACCCCTTTGTGCCTCAGTTTCCTTAGATATAGAAAAAGGGCCTTCCTCACTGGAAGGGTAGGATCATGGGAAATATATACAAAGCAATTAGAGCAAGCAGTCAAGGGCATTATGTGTGTTTTAGGAGGGTTTGCAAACAAGATATTGAGTTGTGAAATCAATGTTTTGAGTCATAAATAGCATTAGAAAAATAGCATGTATTAGAGTAAAACGGAGCATATTAGAGCACACTGTGACTGTGCAGGGTATTGGCGGGTATCCCATGTGTGTGTGTGTGTGATGGCTCACAGTGTAAAATGCCTTTCTCACTGTGGGTTGTAGTTACAAAAACTTGGAAGACCCTGCTCTAGGGGCTGGAGTGAGCAAATCCACTTTTCTAAGCACCGACCCGTGTTGATGAATGAGGCCACTATGGACTAAAGGCACAAGGTGAGCTCTGGCTGAATCTGAAATGTGCTTCCTTTGCAGAGGGAGACCAAGGGGCAGTTTCTCATCGACCACATCTGCAACCACTACAGCTTGCTGGAGAAGGACTACTTTGGCATTCGCTATGTGGACCCAGAGAAGCAAAGGGTAAGAGCTGACTTCTGTCCAGAGCCATTCCAGACTGTTGCTGTGGGGTCATCTCTGAACCCATGTGACACTCTAGGACTCACGTATTAGTGGCCGCATGAAACTGTGAGCAGGAGAGGCTGGCCCGCTGGACCGTGTGCAGCAGGAGAAGGGAAGTTACTGAGGCCTTTCTGGAAGGCTGCTCCTGTCTGGTTAGGACAGAGAACATCCCTGTGCCCTTCAAACCCAGTGTTTGCTAAAGTTCCCCTGATGGTGGCTAAATACAACCTCAGTAGAGAGAAAATCCACTCCCCACTCCACATCCCTACTACAAAGAGCTATTGGTAGAGAGGGGAGTGGGGACGTGGGTAATTAATGGATTCAGGATTTCTTTTTGGAGGGAGGAAAATATTTGAAACTTGATTGATGGGGTGGCTGCACATTGTGAATGTGCTAACTATCACTGAAATGTGGATTTTAAGATGGTTAGTTTTATATTATATGGGTTTTACTTCATTTCTTTAAAAAAACCTTTACCATGCCATGGAATATACTATTCAGTCATAAAAAGATGGAGACTTTGCATCTTTTGTATTTACCTGGATGGATTTAGAAAACATTCTCCTAAGTAAAGTAGCTCAAGAATGGACAATCAAGCATCCTATGTACTCAGAACTACTAGTAGATCAACAATTACAGGCCTACAGAAGAGAACCCGTAATTAAATTCAAGATGGACGGGGGGAGGGGGTTTGTAAGTTCCCCCCATCAGGCACAATGGAGGGGTATACAGCACACTTCCTGGGTGAAGGGCTCAACCACAACTCGTACTTGACTTTACAGACACAAACAATGTAACCTAATCATATACAGCCTCGTATTACTTCGAAATTAAAAAAAATGCTTTTGACAGATGAAGGGTTAAGTCGCTTGAGATGCTGCTCCTTGGGCACTCTAAACTCGATGGCTCCCACTCTGTTCCTGCTCCTGGACACACTTGCCCTGCTTGTATCTCTCTGGTGGTGGATAAGTATGAGCAGGGGAGTCTCTCCTTTTGAGCTGGGGTCCAGGGGTGGCATGTGCTGGACTCAGTGATGTGTATCCCTTACATCCAAAAGGCCCCTGAGAGTCTCCACTCCAGCTCCGGTTGTTTTCCAGTTCTGCAAACTTGCTGTAGGTCCCAGTTACAGGGGGCTCTGTCCCCACTCAGTTCTCTACAATATGGACTATATGTGAAGGGGGTGCCAGGGGGTAGTCCAGGAGGGGACAGGACCCCTCTGCCTCTGTAATTTAATCTCCTCCTCTCTCGTCTCTCTGGTCTTCTCAGCTTGTCTTTCCTCCCTGCAACCCAGCCTGGCTCTTAGTTTAGTCTTTACTGACCCACTATCATGAGGAGAGGCTCACTTTTATAAAGGAGGAGAATATTTAAGGAACATACTAGTTTTCTTTTGAAACACAATCTTACTTAACTCCTAGAGTCCTAGGGCACCCAAACTCACCTGGCCCTGAAACAAAATCACCTTAGCTGTTTGGTCCAGAACTCCTAAATCAGAATCCTTGGGGCTAGAGCCAAGAATGTGAATTTTAACTTGTTCATATTCTAGTTTTGATGTGGCCAACCCGGGTTTAGTCTGGGGACCATGACATAAGACATTCACAGACATAAGTTCTCATGGCCTGTGCAGACACTATGTGTACATGGAGAGGGAAATGGGCTCAAAGAACCTGTTTGTTGCCCAAGGTAAGTAAGTGATGGAGAGAATATCTGAGTTTAGGATCAAAGTCCCTGTGAGCCAAATCAACTCTGTAGACTGTATTAGTCCTCTAACCACCGAAGAAAATGAGGTTATCTTTGCACAAAATTTCATCCTACAGTATAAACAGCTGAGATGCACCAGTCATTCTATCTGCTACTAGCGGAGCACCCATCACATGCCGGGAATTTTACTCATTTCAGTCTTCAGTTTTCTCCAAAACTCTGCGAGGAAGGGAGAAACTTGGGCACAGTGGGCACCTGTGGCTTGCCTGGGGCCATGTGCCTAATAATAGAGGCAGGGCAGGCTTTGAACTCTTTCCATTCTATCTCTCAAGTGAATAATTGAGATATAGCCTGAATCTTTTCTGTAAAGGGCCAGATAGAAAATATTTTCAGCTTTGTGGCTCAGACAGTCTGCTGCAGTTACCTCTGCTCTTCTAGTGGAGAGCAGCCACGGACAGGCCTAAATGAGTGATGGGGCTGTGTTCCACTAAAACTTGGTTTTTCCTTACTGCCTACTACAAAACAGGCAGTTGGCCATAATTTGCTGACCTCTGGTCTAGACAATAGTTGGAAACCACTTAATGCATGAGCCTTTTTCATTCTCTTAACCCTCCCATTGGGGAGATATTGGATACATTATTAAGAGAAGCCTTTAGAATTGGAATCAGATGGGGGCAAGACACAATTATAAGAGGGACTTTACCTAACAAATGCAATCAGCGTGAGCTGGTTTCTTGTACCCTCAATGAGTCCCCAACAATAAAAAATAAAGAGAATCGGAAACAGAGTTATCAATATGAGCTCGTGGGTTTTAAAAACTATATCACAGATAAATACATGAGTAAATATAGGGGTGTGTGTGTGTGTATGCATCTGCTAGTAGAGTGGTCCCCCCCCTTTTTGGCGCCAGGGACTGGTTTCATGGAAGACAACTTTAACACGGATTTGCGGGAGTGGGTGAGACTAGTGGGGGAGGGGAAGGTTTGGGGATGATTCAAGCACCCTGTATCTCCCCCTGGGATCATCAGGCATTAGAGTCTTTAAGGAGCACGTGACCTAGATCCTGCCCAAGTGCAGTTTTCAGTGGGGTTTTCACTCTATGAGAACCTAATGCCCCCACTGATCTGACAGGAGGCGGAGGTCAGGTGACAATGTGAGCAATGGGAGTGGCTATACATACAGACAGTTAAAAACAGGGTGGGGGGGACTGTCAAGGACGTGTGAAAACAAACTGTCTCTGACCCCAACCCCCCATTGCTTTGTGACTGTTCTGAGCTTTGCTGGCTCACCCTCAGGCAGGTTCCTGACAGGCCACAAGCCTGGGGGGTGGGGATTGCAGTGCCAGCACACCGACACTTATTTCCACATTCTACACTGAGAGGGCCTTAGAAGCAACAATACCGCAGTAGCAAGGCACACACACAGGTCTTGGTTTCCAAATACCGCTTTCCAATACAAAGAACAGAACTCCTTACAGAAATGGCTGATTCTAGGACTGGGATAGGGGAAATCACAGGATGAGCCTGAAATGGTACCAGAATTGCTCAAAAAAAAAAAAAAAAAAAAAGGAAAAAGGGATTAGGAAAGGCAAAGAGCCAACCCAAAGAACTGCCAATGGCCAAATTGGAATTTATTTCTGGAACGACAGAAACAAATAACAATATTGGCTTATAACCCACAGAGTAAATAACCATGAGTCTACACTGATGTAAATAATTAATGAATAAATAAAAAGGAGGGATGAGGCAGCTCTTCCTTATAGAATAATTTCAATTAATAAATGTAGAAGGAATGAGGAAATAGAAAAACCATCCCTAGAACAACACGATAATAATTTGCAGAGGAGAGCCCTCGATGAATGCTAAAATCAGTGAGCAAAAGTTTAAGGAGATACTGGATACTTGAATAGTCTCAATGTACTCTCTCCCTCCCAAGATCAATTTTCAGTTACCAAGGGAGAAATAATAATTTTATAGTGGGGAAACCTGAGAGGCACCACTTTAAGCAAGAGACGAAGGTTAACATCGCCAGGCCGGAGACATCTCCGCGTCATGCGCCTCCTGAGCAGACGTACCGGGAAGGGCACCTGGTCTCTGTGGCCTTCTTCCCAGTGCTGAGTGCCATCAATCTTATCTTGGGAAAACACAAGACAAACCCACGTGAGGGGCATTCTCCAAAATAATTACCAATGTTCTTCAAACGTGTTGAGGTCATGAAAGACAAGGAAAGACTGGGCAACTGTCACAGATGGGAGAGACACGTCTGCTCAAGGCAATGTGGGATCCTGAATTGGTTTCCAGAACAGAGAGAAGTGTGGCAATGGGAAAATGGGGTGAAATCCAGTGGAGTTTAGTTGATACCATTGTGCTAATACTGGTTCCTTATTTTGGTGATTGTGCTGTGGTTATACAAGATGCTCACATGAGGAGGCGAGTAAAGATTATAACTTTTTGTAACTTTTTATACATCTATAGTTATCTTTTAAGTTTAAAAAGAGAGCCTTTAGGTTGATGTGCTTGGTTGTTCATTATATCTTGACTTGATTTAGCTTAATTTTTAATGTCCATGCTTGAATGAGTAGTAGTTTAGAGGTAAAAGTGGGGGCTCCAAGAACAAAACTGTCTCATCTGATGTAGCCACTACATCGATTAAAAGGGTGCTCGAATACTCCTGTTTTAATTTCCCCCCTCTCTTCACCGTACAGCTCTTACAACCTTTCAGTTTTGAAGGTACAATGAGGTGTAGCTTTCACATGTGTTGTAGAGTAGTTGTTGCACTCAACCATAAGAACTTCGGACTCCGAGAGACATGATTAAAAACTATCTCTGCTGGTTGGTAAACTCTGTGATCTTGGCCAAGTGATTTTTGCCTCTCTAAGTCTCTGTGCAGATGGATAAAGTAGATAATAACGCCTATATGAGAATCTGTGATAAGGTATACAAATGCTTGGTACATGTGTACCCTGAGTACACGGTATGTATATTTTACTTTAGTTGTTGTTATTATTACTCTTCCTATTATTATGCATCGGCTAGGTCAGGGGAGGCAGCAGCATGAGGAAATCCAGACATGATTAGCACCTCTGAAATTTCATTTGAAGGTGAGGAGACTGCTGTTGTGATCTTTGGAGAGAGAAGGCAGAAAGTGAGCTTGGGATAATTTGAAAAATGGACACAAAGGTACAATTACATACTGGTATGGGAGTTTTAGGCAGTGATTAACAGAGTCTCACTTTATTGCCCTCAGTAAAGTGCTGTGGCATC